CCAATGAATAGTAAAATGTCAATTTAAGAAGATAGTTGTATTAAATCCTTGCTTTACATTACAGTATTTGTTTCACGGACATGTCGTGTGAACAAATATTATCTGACAGTTTTGTGTTTGAAATTAATATGGAAAACTCTAATTTTACAATCACATCATTTGGTTAGTGTCTCAAATTAACATTGGAATTTCCCAATTTCACATTTAAATCTGAAACCAGTGTGCGATTTCCTTTAAAAGAGATTTTTCATAACGCCAATAAACATATTATAGAGTTTTTAATACTGACATGTTAAAAATCCTCAGATTTATTTTTTTACTTGATATGGCATTATTCATCCTGATATTGATTTAATTTATATTGAACCTTTAGAGACAAGGTGGGGCACAATTCCAGGGAGGGGGTCCAATATTCCACCCCGTACAATGACCAAATAAGCGTTAGTTCTAAAAAAGGGGGAGGGTAAATTCCAGGGGGTACAATTCCGGCCCGCCCAGTTTTAGGGTCAATGGATTGAATAAAACCACTTGTGCATACAAATATAAAAGTTTTGTGATTGGCTCAATTCCGAATCGTGCCGATTTGGTCGAGAAAATGAGTAGAGAAAATAAGTCGAGAAAATGAGAGTGAAGCTGAAGGAGAAACCCTCCTACTACCCTGAGTAGGGTACAATCCCACCACCCCTATTATTCACCATAATATTTTACCGATTTAGAATATTTAGAGGCGGGGGAGAACGGAGTAGAACCCATCCTGACCCTCACGACTCGCGGATCGAATTGGATGTTTCAAGCGATGTATTCTACCGATTCTACCTGCCAGATCCACGGATCGGTTGTTCCAGAACTACCCTCTGACGCGAATCAGTTTAGGCCAAATTGCGTAACTCCTGTGTGACAAACAAAAACAAAGTGCAGTGATAACGATACAAGATAGTAGAGTGGCTAAAGTGAAAACACATTCTGGAGCGAAAAAGGACGACCGTCTCATTTACTCTTTACTCAATTTAAGTTCAATTCTCCTAAGTCAAGTCTCTTTAAGTTCAATTTTGTCCTAAAAAGTCTTGCAAAACGTATTATAACCATTTCAATCATGTTTCTGTGGGAAATCAGGTAATGAGACCTAACTGCCGAACCATATTCCAAACTAGGGAAGATAATTGTCATTTTTTTTAAAATTAATTTGCTGGTGGATCTCAGGATCTCATAACTAAATAAGCCAAGAAGTGATTTTTTTCTATAAGTAACTAATTCTAGTTCTAGAAGTAATCAATTAATTTTCCGGGGAAAAAGAGGATAACTCATCAATACAACACCAAGATCTTGCCAACTTGGCTACTCGAATCAGTAACATGCCATTAATATGGTGATTATATACCAGCGTGTTCTTCTGCAGCTATAATTGTTTAACATTTATTTATATTGAGTTCCATATCAATCTTCACACACCATTCAGTATGTCAGCAAAATTGTAGTATATCATTCTGCTCACCCACTGCAATTGTAATTATCTTGATTTCACCAGCAAACATTGACAAGATGGTTGAGATCATATCTGAAATGGCGTTGAAAATGTAAAAACACAAGAAACAGAGGTTCCAAGCGAGACTTTAGATGTACAAGGTGATCGAATTATTAGCACTATCGCACTTTATATTACGAAGAATACTCGGTCAAACTGCATAACTTTTCACAAACTCCAATGTTTATCCAGTATTTCGTGGTTAACTTGATCAAATGCCTCTAATTAGTCAACATTGTAAAATGTATATTGTAAAGAAATGTTGAAAATGCATTATGTCTTAAATATTTTAAGTGAGTCGTCGGTCCAGAATTGTTGTGGTGCCAACTATTTTATTTAACAAACACGATTTTGAACTATTGTCTCAACAGTGCGGGGCTCATTAGCGCATAAACTACAAATCATTGCATATGATCACATGGTCCACTAGGAGTAGACACGATTATTTACTCGTGCGGGAGTCGGATACCAACCGTGTGCACCTACGGTTGCTACGCAGGTGAAAATCGTGCACGAGTGAAATCGTATAGTGTGAAGGGAGCATTAAGGCCCCTTTCACACTAGACGATTGTTTAGTCGTACGGGAGCAGGTCAGGTACGGGAGCCCTCCCTGAGTGCAGTTTGTTGCGTATATTTTTCATATTGTTTTGTGTATACAGTTTAGTTGTTTAATTATTGAGTTGACCTACCTGTGTATACTGTATTTTATTATTTAGTTTTTGTTATTAATTACAGTTTTACCTATATAGTTAAAAGTATGGTTGTGATTGACCTTGAAGCTTTAAACGATTCTCTTGACATCCGAAAATAGTTTAAAACTATCCTTCGTCATTTCTCAGGTCTCGAAATAATGTTTTAAACATACGGTACCCACTTCCTCACGTCTCAAATTTATTGGATGCACCCAGTGGAGACGGTCGCGTTTCTTTATTTTTCTCCACCGGTAAATTATCAAAGCAGCAATCATTTGCTCGCGATCCATGCTACTTACCACTTACCACTTATTTTATAGTTTGAGGTAGATATCCCCCGGTATAAAAATCTCATTTTTTAGCGAATTTTCTATATAAGAAATAAGCTATTACCGTAGGTTTCATGGCTGACCCAAACCCGGGGCCGATTTAATTTTTCGTTTTGATGTCCCAGAGGCCAAAAAAAACATCCGCTCAAATTTATATACAGGGTTAGTAAAAAGTGTGGACACCCCCTGTTATTTTTTTAACGGCCCATACTAGAAAAACTAAACTCGGCACACCATTATGGCATGTTATGAAGTACATTTTGGGCATAACCGCCACTTGGTATTCATCCCCAAAATGGGGGATTTTGGGGGAAACTAAAAGATTTCAAATACAAAGACCCATCGATTGACCCCTCATTTTGAAGGTCCTGGTAAAAGAAAACCAAACCAACAACGCAAACTAGAGGTATCTATCTCAGTTCAGTACAAAATGGCAGCCAATTGAAATTCGCATAAGTTTCCAAACCCAAAATGGGGGATTTTGGGGGAAACTCAAAGGTTTTAAATGATAAGCCCCATCGAGTGACCCCTCATTTAGAAGGTCATAATAAAAGAAAACTAACAACGCAAACTATAGGTCTCTATCTTAACACAGTAAAATATGGCACCCAATTGAATATAAAATTGCAAGTTATTTCCGATTTCTAAAGATTTCAATCAGCTTCCATTTTTTACTGGATTGAGATAGAAACCTCTAGTTTGCGTTGTTAGTTTTCTTTTACCAGGACCTTCAATATGAGGGGTCACTTGATGGGGCTTATCATTTAAAACTTTTGAGTTTCCCCCAAAATCCCCCATTTTGGGTTTGGTAAGCAAGTGGCTATTAGGCTTATAAAGTACTTCATAACATGCCAAAAAGGTGTGTAGAGTTTAGTTTTCCTAGTGTGAGCCGCTACAAAATTTACAGGGGGTCTCCAGACTTGGAAAGCTGCAAGTTAACTTCAACTTCTGAGAATTTCAATTGGCTGCCATTTTTTACTGGATTGAGATAAAGACCTCTAGTTTGCGTTTTTGGTTTTCTTTTAGCAGGACCTTCAAAATGAGGGGTCACTCGATAGGTCTTTGTATTTGAAATTTTTTAGTTTCCCCCAAAATCCCCCATTTTTGGGATATACACCAAGTGACGGTTATGCCCAAAAAGTACTTCATAACATGCCATAAAGGTGTGCCGAGTTTAGTTTTTCTAGTATGGGCCGTTAAAAAAATAACAGGGGGTCTCCACACTTTTTACTAACCCTGTATATATGTGTCCGTTAGCACGGTAACTCGAGCAAAAATCATCCGATTTTGATGATATTTGGTACAAACGTACCTACTCTAACCATTTCGGGAACCAGCATGCTCGGACCATGTGAACACAGTTTTACGAGGGGTGTTATGGGGTAAAAAGAGGGATTTCTCATTTGAGGCCCTCAAAACCAGGAATTTTCTAATTTTTCTTTAACCATCGAGTAGAGCTTAAAAAAACAAATAATTTAGTACCTTGAAGTGTTTTTGTACAGTTATTGGCTAAGGAGAAAATTAAAGAATGTAAATTTAAAATTTCCATGTTATTCTTATTGGGAATAAGTAAATTATTGTAGTGATCAAACTTGGCAAATTTATTTATTTTAAACTAATTGCACTAAATACACACTTTTATTACCCACCCTGTAGCAGCAAACCCATGCATTCGTTATACCTGATGTTGTTTAAATAGAACTGTGAATATCAAATCAGGCAAATGAAAATTCGCTTAGTCTGCCGGTTTGCTGCGGCGGGGGTATTTTCAGTAAGTCCGATGAAGCGATTTGCGGCTGGCTCGCCCGTGGGGCGCAAGGCAATGGCATGCATTGGTTTTCATAACAGTCATAGTTAATGTATCTTCATTAAACAATTTTTGAAGACAGCTAATTAATTTTATTCTAACTTATAATAATACATATTTATGATTTATTTACAGAAAATCAACATTTGATAACTAACGCGTGTAAAATTACATGCATGAAAATATTGGTTGCAAATCAAAATAGCATATACAAATAAATAGATATTTAGGATTATGTTACTTGCAATAATATTAACAATATTTTCTAAAGATGGTAACGAATGCATTGCATGTTTTAAAATGTAATTCCATACATTTTCCCATCAAATTGTAAAATGTTTTGTTAATATTTATTCAACACTCTCTTCACTTAGATTAATGTTGGGAAATCGAGTTGAACTAATTAGTTAAACTAATTAGCTTTCTATAGTAATTCAATTACGCCTAATTATTAAAGTAATACAAAAAATACTAAATTGAGTTTCGTTTTGTCATTCTCCAGATGTAATCAACACTTGAATGCTGAAACTCGACGGAAATGCTTAGGCACGATGTTTAAATTCTTTCTGACATTTGACTGTAGATTTCTTTCTGGCCTTATCTATGATTGCTATCTCCATGTGCAGGACAAACCTCTGTATATCAGTTGGGCACAGGATATCATGAAATGACCAGCAAAAACCGACCATGAAGTTCAACGGACGATTTGAAGGAGGTAACAAACTTACAATCATGTTAATTAAATTCTTAATAGGATATGTTTATTTATAACCAGATATTGATTTATGTTTTATTCCATAAATTGATAATGTATGTTCACAGAAAAGGAGATTTAATTTTCAATAAAAATATAAACTTTTCATAATTATGAAAATTTAGTTTGGTTAAAAATAACTTTTGATGATCAAAATTGACATATTGTAAAGTATTTATGGCTGAGTTAAGTTTAACAAACAATATAAATCGATTGAAAATATTTATGTAAGATAGTTGACATACAGGGTAAAATATTTGTCCATCCAATTTTAGATTTGGAATAGGTTTTAGCTTTTAAATCCATCCCAAAAACACCACATTCCAACATATAATGTTAAAATTGACTGAACACAACATTGTGATAAATTATTGTGTAACAAAATTAAAGGATTAGATACTGTATAAAATTAGGCTATGGCATGGGTTTCAGTTTTAAACCTATAATATCTAAACAAAACGATTTTCAAGTGCCCTCAGGTGCATTAACTTAATACGTTTGGTCTATAGCTAACTTAAAATAAGTTTTCCATTGAAATATATCCCTATAAAGTAAAAATATTCAATCAAGTAAATAAAAAAAAATCTGGGAAGGCAAAAGTTGCCTGATTGAAAGAAAGAATTGGCACGCATTTTTTAAAGTAACTAGGCCCTAATAATTAATTCATTTACATTTTTAACTAAATTAACAACAATTAATTTAATATATGTTCTATTTGTATTTAGGTTTGTTTTATAAGGCACATCAGTTATTTATTTGTTGTGTTTAGCCCTATTATGAAATGAAAATTACCTAATTTAAATTTTCAGAACATACATCAGCCCCAAACACATTATTAACATTTACGTTACATTAACATTTAAACAGACTTTTGAGTTGAAAACAATTCATAAATCAAAACTTTACCCATGCAAATGCATTTTAGTCTCCTAAAGCCATCTTATAATTTATTTATTATAAATTATTTATGTACTTATAATTTAATTTGTTTGAGAGAACTTGAAGAATATATGTTTTAAGACATCCATTCTAAAATACTAACAGAAAAATATTATATATTGTTGTACTGTTGTATTTTATTTGTTCTAATTTTTCAGAACAAGATCTTTATCCCCTACAAATATGTTTTGTCGACAAAGTGGATGGCAAGATCCTAGAAGCTGCAATGGTATGTAGAAATAGTAATAAAATACTTGTTAACGTTGATCGTGGTGTGCTTACATTTGATTAATTTTTATCTGTGTGGTCTAATTTGGTAAAAATTATCATAGTAAATTTTAACACATATTGTACAAATTATATGTAAATTTTGTATTTTTGTCTTTGATTTTCATCCTCCCTAATTTATATAAAAATCATTTAGACTGACAGAACTGTTTAGGTATCGGTAGGATCAAAGATAGTTGTATGACTTTAGGAAAGAAGAGTATTTTAAGTAGGCATATTTGATCTAAATATATTTAACAGTACTTTTTTAGATCCATTTATGAAACTAACAAGTTTCTAATATACAGGGTGGAAAAAAAGGGATGATTAATTATTTAAAAAGTGATAAGGATAAAGCTTCAAAACTTGGTACACAGTTACTGGGCTTTAAAATAATTTTAACACATTATTTAGTGATGCGCTACTTATTTAGGGGATGGCCCACTAGGAGTCAGAAGAAAATCTTAAGTGTGAGCATAGGTCAAATACGCTAATCAAATTTAAGATCTTTCTTACTAAAATACAATGCCGCAAACCCCAACTCAACTGGATAATTGAGTCCAAAATCAGAGCTATGCAAAGATGCTTTGCATTTGCAGTGATATTATGGCAGAAGCAGAAGCAGGAAACCCACTAGTCCGACGCTCTCCGACACGACACCTTCCGTCAAGTCTCCGATACCTTCCGACGCCTTCCGCAATTTTAAGGCATTACCCCATTGGTCCGATGGGCTCCAACGAGAAATACACCACCACTCCAACAGTGCCAGTTGCGATGGAAAGTTCTTCGGACGAAGAGTTGTTTGTGGTAGCCGCATTGTGTGCTGAAGACAAAAAACCAAAACGAAGGAAACATAGGTTCTGGGTACACAACATATTTAAAAGACGTAATGATTAACAATACACTTTAACTGTCATTTTATCAAATTTTTCACTTATTTCCTGCCAGGCGTTGTCTTTCTTCCGGTGATCATGATAACCTTTAATGCTCACTGTATATAGAAAGGGATACTCCCTAACTGCTTCTATAAAACGCTCGTCGATACTCATCACACACAAAGCTAGACAGTGACTAAAACTCTGGTGCACGCAGAGTGGAGAAATTACGGATCCGACATCCGACAAGAATGCCCCAAAGAAAAATGTTGTCGTGACGTGACAGATCGGAAGGTGTTGTGTCTGACTAGTGTGTTACAGTCCATTTAAAGTCATGCAAAGTAATGTTGTCGGAAGGTGTCGGAGACTTGACGGAAGGTGTCGTGTCGGACCAGTGGGTTTCCTGCTTAACACTACCTCCTCAGGGTAGTGCATAGGTCAATACGCGCATCAAAAGGGCTTTATTAGTAGTATACAATACTGAAAATTTGAGCAATAAATATCAACTGAGTAAAATTGCAGAAGTTCAAAATTTCAAAATGGCAGATTCAAGAAATCTTTGAACGGCTGCCATTTTTGACTCAGTTGTCGGTTTGAGTTTACATTTGTGGCTTTGTATTCTAATAGAAAATGTGTTTAATTTGATGGGCATATCAACCTATCCCGCATTAAAGCAATGCCGCCTTTGTAAAACTGTACCCAATTTGGCGTAATTGAAACATCTCAAAGAAAACAAAGCTTCGCATCTTCAACACAAATATTAAGTCTGTTTTGCTGTATGCAAGTGAGATGTGAAAAGTTACAAGTTTAATTACGTCTTAGCTGCATGTGTTCATTAATAGGTGTCTTCAACGTATCATGAACATTTATTGGCCAGAGATCATCGCAAACAAAGATTTATGGAGAGAAACAGGTCAAATTGCTAATTTGAGAGAGGAAGTGTAGGTGGATGGAACATACTCTGGGGAAGCCAAACGGAACCATTGAGAAAGAGGCCCTGGATTGGAACCCGCAAGGTGTCAGAAGAAGATGTCAACAAGACTTGGGGAGACGTGAAGGCACTTGCTGGAGACAGGGACAGACAGAGAACTCTTCTGGATGTCCTATGCTCCCAGAGGAGATAAAAGGAAATAAGTGAAGTAGCAGACCGTCCCCCTGAGGATGATCACTGAATATAATGTGTTAAAATGATTTTAATGCCCAGTAACTGTGTACAAAGTTTTGAAGCTCTACTATACTTATACTACTATTTGAAATATTAAACTGGTCGGAAACTTTTTTCCACCCTGTATAGGCCTAACTTAATAAAAAAAAAACATGCAGTACACTTGAAACTAAGAGAGAACACATATGAATAAAGTCTTCCATTTCAGAAATTTGATCTACCCATTCTTGAATCAGATTCAAACAACAACGACATGGCAGAACCTTTAACTCGCACTATATATGTTTTCAACGACTTTGAGGATCATAAAATGTTTCCTATAATTGAAAAAACTCCAATAACATGGTAAGTAATACAATTTCTCATAGAGATAGTCCAGATGTAATAGATCTAGAGAAAAAATTTATCTATGATTCATTGATATGATAGTCAATTGAATCTATCCACATTACTCAAATAAGTCAAAAGGAGCACTTTGCGGGCCCTGATGTTTTTAGAATAACTAGTGGTGCGGAAACCGCAATTCTAAATACAGCTGATGGATGCTCCACATTGCACATTGCACTGTGCTTGTGGGACTGGGATAGAGTATAGAAGGTTGGCTTCTGAGTCAAAGACTGGCAAACTTTGGTCTTCAAGGGAAGAACTTGTCAAAAATACAGGCTGACATTAGATACGTTGCACCAATCCATTTTTCCACATCCTACAATTCAACGGAAGCAGATTAGACAGTATTTTTGTAAGTTCAACAATACTATTATCATCTCCCAAAGACCGACATTGGTCAGTTCTCACTTGTATATATTATTATAGTATTTTAATACTGCTGTAGGATTCTCGGTCCAACAGCTTTAGAGGAAATATCTCGAAACCCTGATTTGGAGCTGAGATCCAAACCTACATTCTGTACTTTCCTGTATGGGTTGGTATTTTACATCAACTGCCCTGAGAATGTTTCATTGATGGTAAGTGAATCACAACCTCATAAATTGTAAAGTAATGTAGTTTCGTCATATAAATTAGTCAACGTTCATTTTTAATGATTTAAACATATCTTAAATGTTTGGAAATGACCTGAACAGAATATAGGAAACCAATTTGGTTTGAGGGCTTTAAATTGGTAGTTTACGAAGAAGAATTGCCTGAGAAGGTTTATGGACTCAGTTTCCATCTATCGCTAATAAATAATTGTGCTCTATAACAACTGTCTAACAATGGATGGAATGGAAATATTATCAGATCGAGGAGTTCCTAAAAAATAAATAATTATGTCATGAAATGATACTAAACAATTTTATGATCTTAAAGGAAACACTTTGTACAACTGCACTTTTTTATGTCATCCCAAACTCAGGAAAAGTATTTTTAATCAAGAAAGTTACCATTGATGTAAAATATATAATAATAAACTTTATAAGTTTCAAAATGTTGCTTCTCTGTAGTATACAATAAATGGTTCTATTGTACTTTTTTATGTAGCTTTAAACATTTTAAATTCAAATACGTTTTTTTCAGAGACGTCTGGTAAGACTGATCAAGTGGATGGGTGGAAGGTTCTCGAATAGACCCAGCAGGCGCACAACCCATATGATTTCTACCCGTGCCATAGCTGAGGGCTACACATACTGCATAACCTTTGACGTCCCCATCCTCACTCCAGATTGGGTAGAATACTGCTGGCTACATAGGGGCTTACCTAACTTTGATATCACTAAAGATATGGTAAATCATCCATCCAGTTTGAGTTTTTATTTGGTCATCGAGGTTTACACCAGTATTTCCGAATGTTGATTTTAAGGCCAAATTTTGCTCAGACGGTTTTTAAATAGTCAGTTTTAAGTAGACATTTGCTGAGTCAGTGCCTTGATGAACTAAAAATCCAAGGCAGGCTTGTTGTGTGTTGCCGTTCTGCTGCTCCCACTAAAATTTAACAGTCTATGGTTCACTCTTGTACGGTGCACACCCTTTGCTTTGCACACACAAGCCCTAGGCCACTGTTAGAAAATGCAATGGTAAAAGAGGCTGCTTACCTCTTTAAAAATGTATGTATGATTGTGTAACCTATTTTTAATATACACAAACAATAATAATATATTCAAACTATTTACTAAACATAAATTGCAATTTATTACCAGTACTGACTGAGTAATATAGGATTTTAAACCATTCACTGATTCGGTTCCGTATTTCTATGTTCTATAATATTTTTCTACTCTTTAGTAATTTTGATTTGCAGAATACCTTCAGACTTAAAATGTGCGCTGGTCTTTACATTGCCTTCAAAGGACCTTCAACAGAAGAGTTGAAGGAATTGGAATCTGCAGCAACAACAAATGGAGCAGTTATAGTGCAGCTTGATGATTTACGTTGTACCCATTTGGTAAGTAACTCCTACAGACAAACGGAGCAGTTGTACTGTGGCTTGATGATAAGCTGTACCCATTTGGTGAGTAACAATTAAAATTTTTAAATCTGTTGCACAAAGTCAGATAAAATACTTTCTATAAAGAACTGCAACAAATTTGGACAACCTGGAACATATTTTTGGCTTTGGTGAGTCATCAATAGGGGTTTTGAGTTTTTGCTATAGATTTGAACCCAAAGTGTAATTATGTAGTTGTGGCAACCCATGGTTAATCCTTTTACCAAAACCCCGGTCTAACAGGCCCACGGGAATTTCCACAAACACATGTTGGCAACACTGTTTACTTGGGGGATTCCATATTCCCCCAATACCTTCCCCCCTTTTCCTTCCCTACCTGTTGATATATTGTTTATTCATTTTGAGTGGGTGCTGTGACCTTGCAGGTTGTCTGTTCATAACATGCCCGTCTCAGGAGCCCAGCGTTAGTGTATTTTAAAGCTGGGTCTCATTGGCCCAGGGTTTCGGTTTGTGTGTTTCTAAGCAGGTTCCATTATTTTCAAATGTGGTCTCACAGACTGGGGGTTTTGGCTAGTGTCAGCCTGGGTAGGGTTTCAGTATTAGTGTTGAGGGAGGCTGTCTACAAAAATCAAGGACATTTTTGTTTATCAGCCCATTATCAGACCTACTGCTATCTGTGGTAGTGTAAAGACAGTAATTCCACTACAGTATATCACATGGGCCCGAGTTGCACCTCAAACAGGCATTTTTCTACTTTTTTACTGTCCCAACTGCATGCCCATCAAAACTCATTTGAAAAAAATGTCATTTTTGTGTGAATGAAGGAAACCTGAAGGAAAACACACTAAAAATATAAATTATCAAATCACTGAACTCATGGAGACAACTCATGGACAACTCATTCTGTAACTCATGGAGTTCAAAGGGTTAAAAAAGATTTTCACTAAGTTTTTATAGGTTGTTTCGCATGATGTGGAAATTCATTTGAACCTCTCAGATATTCCGACTCACATCAACTTTGTAGTCCAAGAAGAATGGTTCATGGCTACAATCAGGCGACAGCACAGAGTTTCGGAGGACCAGTATCTTTGCTTCCCTGTAAGTTTCTACAAGGGGAAAACATTATTACTTAACACAATGAGTGTGGAAAATGTAAAGGCTCAAATATTTGATTCAATCCAGGCTGTAACCCAAATACCAAAACTCATTCTAGGAGTGTCCAAGGATCTGTTTTCACAAGTATACTCATGTCCTTATCAGTTGTTAAAAGTCACACATCACCTATAAGGTACTAATTTTGATGACAACCTATTTTATAGTTGCAACCACTTTCTTGCTTTTATTATAATCTTTGTTAGAACTATCACTATTATCTAATCTTTGCTGTCATATTTATTCTAATATCTGATTATAAAAGAAACACATAAAATAATAGAGCAAAAATCTTTCCTGTACCTATTCAAAGAAGCCCTACTTTTAAAGATATTAATTCACCATCGATTTTTGATTTTGATTGGACACTCCAATCATCAGGCGCAATTAATTGGTGTATTGTTGCTTAATAAGTGATATCTATAATAGTATCTACACATTTGTAAATTCTGCGTAGTAACTGTGCTGCTAACCCACTTCGGTTCAAGTACCGGTAGTTCAATAATAACAACTGCGAGCACTAGTATCTACTAAGTCATATATAGAATTTCTTAGTAAAGTTTAGTTGACAATCTGAAAAACAAATTAAAATGAGAAAATAATCAAATTGTTTTCATTTTTTTTAGAGCCAAAAAGTTATTTGGTTATATTAAAGCCATTTCAATCCTAACAACATATAATGCGAGTACAGTATTTATAATTCCCCCTTTTTAGTGAATTTCCCTATAGGGAAGTAGCTATTACCGTAGGTGGCACGGTAAGATATAGACTCGGGATCGATATACTTTTTCATTTTGATGTCCCTAGAGGCCAAAAACACTATTCGTTCAAATTTTATATACGTCTGTAAACAAGATAACCTCAGTACGGTAATTTTTGTCCGATTTTGATGAAATTTGGCTTGAAGGTGTAGGGCGGGATGAAATTGAATGAGTTCGCGAACCAGCATGATCGGACTAAACGGGTTGTTATGGGGGGTTTTATGTGGTAAAAATTGGGTTTTCTCATTTTTGATCCTCAAAACATAAAGTTTCCCAATTTCTCTTTAGACCTTTTTAAAGCACTAAAAAAAAATGTAGTTTTTTGAAGTGTTTTTGTACGGTTATTGGTTAAGGAGAAAATTAAATAAATTGTAAATAAAAAATTCCCATGTTATTCTTATGGTGAATAAGTAAACTGCCATAGCTTGCTTGTTTATGGATATATTTTAATCAAACTTGGAAAATTTATTTATTTTATATTAAGCTACTCATATTTTACTAAAAAACACACTTTATTACCCCATCTGTAACAGCAAACCTAGGTATACTTGTTTAACATAATTATATTTAAATAGATTTAATCGAAAATCCAATCAGGTAAATGGAAATTCGCTTAGTCTGTAGGTTTGCTGTGGCGGGGGAATTATTTCTTCTTAATTGATGTAAAATGCACTGATTTTTACATTTTTTTTTGTATTTTTCACGAAGCACGGGGTACACAATATGCCCTTTCGCAAGTGCCTGGCTCTACGTGATAGGCGAGTTATATGGCAAATTCAACTAAAATAATTCTAGCTGCTGTTATAATAAATAAATAATATCATATAGAGTCATTTATAATTCATAATTATTTACATATTTACAGACAAGGGAAATAAAAAAAAAGCTCTGGCAGAAAATGGGTGCTGATAAAAAATCCATCGATAGTAAGGAAAGGCCAACGTTTGATCAATCTTTACATGACGGTGAGTATTTGTTGTTTATTAATAATTACCCTTATACAGTATAAAGTAGTCACATATCCATAAAAATACTGGATTGGTACGAGGTCTGTGTATAGTTCAAGATCCCCATGAGCTCCAGTTACGAAATAGCGAGCTAGTTCAAATCTGACACCAGTGCCATGTTCTATACTCCTACTACGATTGTTCTATCCGTATCCCACCACTAAACAACAATTAGTCTAACCATAGTATAGTAGCTTATAATATGTCAACCAACACTCCTGGCAAAAAAATAGGGTGATTTGTTTCTGGGATTCTGTAGCAAAAGGGTTAACCTCTATTTAAATCTGTTACCATGTTAATACGTATATGAGTATGGAGAAAAGAGGTTTGACATTGTAAGTGGTAATAATAAAACTGCGTATGCGACTCCTCATGTTTCCATATCTGTCAGCTGATCTCATTTTGTCAACGAGATTAACTAACTCTTTAGTCAACCTTAACTGCAATGTTAATTTGATTACATTATTTATTTTTCAAATCAAGAATACAATCGGTTGGATATTTTTGCCATCCCAGGTTCAAGGACTTGAATTACATAATATTTACCTTTGTTGTTGTTGCCTGAGTTCATGTAGGTAAAATGTTTGTGTCGCCCTATGGATGTGTGGCATCTTCATGGGTCTTCTTGAATTCTTCTTCTTATCACTACTAACTATGGTTTATATTTACAAAAATATTTACATACACACGGTCACTAGTATCGCAATCGGGTCAACAATGTGATGACAGACGGGTTAAAGACCGGCGACCCAAGTAGTAGAGTATAAATAAGTAGTTATAAACATATTTACTAAAGGAGTTACCGTACTCAACTAAACAAAACAAACTGACATTTTTTGGGCACAAGTTTCAGATAAAAATAGAAAAAAGGAAATACAAGATGTAAAAAGGAAGTATGCATTTGAGGATTTATATTTCAAAGAGAAGAACTATGTTTGCTGTTTGAAACATCTGTGTAAGGTAAGTATACTCAACATTTCAATGCCCTATAAATTATTTTTGAACAAATAATAGACTTCAGGTCAGGATTAATTATTATAATTAAGTGTGTATCATCTTCATAAATGCTTAATCTAAAAAAAACCCACAATGAATACAGCCAACCTCAACTTGATTTTATATATAGGACTGCTAAATGTAATTTTAATCACTAAAGCAGCAAAACATAAGAATAAGTAAATGTTTAGATGCAGGATTTGGCTACCAATCGACTTCATCATGATGGGGCGATTCTGAACGAACCTGAGGCAAAAGCAATTTTTGGAAATATAGCAGACCTGGTCAAAGTTCACCAAGAATATTTGGATTATTTAGAAAAAACTCTGAAAAATTGGGAAAATGATGCTATAACAGTTCATCAACTAGTAATATCTGTAAGTATTTGTGTAAAAACGTACAGGAATTATAAAAAGTGTTAATGTATCATCACAGACTAGCCAACACAAGTAGATCTCTTGTCCCATTATAAAATCTGAAGCTTTTTTCATGTCTAGTTTATGTTGGTGACACTGGATGCTAGTGTGGACAACACTTTGTTTAAATTTCAGGTTTATGATTTGTGCTTTTCTGTTTGGTTAAGGGATGAGTTATTGTTTATGATTATTAGATTATTTGATTTGGCTAAAAGGAGGTTTTAAATAAAACTACAAGAAACAAAATGTAAAGAAAACACGATCCTAGCGGCAGCAGACGGAACTGACGATAAAATTGTCTTCAGCTGATCCATAAGGATGAAAAATCTACTAAGGGAGTATTTTTAATCTATGGAATATTCAAGTTTTTAAACTTTTAATTTGAACAAATGGTGTTTTTGGTCTCCGTAGACATGAAGAAAAAAGATTTCCCAGCTCCAGGCATAACTATGAGACATACGGTAATAGCATTCCCTACATGGGAAATTCACTGATACGAGCACACACAGGATAATTTTTGCTCTTAGAGAATTGGAATATGAGAGGTAGTTGTAGTACATCAACAACAAGACTTCCTGATAATACTGATCTACTAAACTTTCACCTTTGGTTGCTAGTTGCTAGTAATCGGCAAAACATTTTGGTCCATTTGCTGGAAAGACCTTACATCCTTGCATTCATATTTTTGAAACCCTTACGGTTACTCAATAAATTTTCATGTAAATACAACATTAAAGAGAGTTTTTTTTTAATGCGAGTAAATTTAAAGTGTTTTTCTACCAAGATTCCTGCATTATAGTTTATATATGTCAATTTAATTGCTATTGAAACCTAAAAACTTGTTTTCAGAAAGATGAGCTATTGAAACAGTACATTATTTACACAGCAAACTACAAGGAAAGTGTGAGACTTTTGGAAGAGAGTGAGAGAACAAACAAGCGTTTTAGGCAGCTGCTAGAAAACTTTAAACTTGGAAATAAGGAACACCCAAAATATATTTTTATTCGTCCTATCCAAAGATTATGTAGTATTGTCTTGCAGATTCAAGGCAAGTACTGTGCCATTTTTGAAGTATAATAACAAATAAATGGATGTGGGATTAAATTTACAAATTTTTCGGACAGGTTTTAACCAACTAACATACAATTTATGATGGTCATGGACTAACTCTACTTATCTACTAATAGGTGTTAGGGAACTTATTCATTTTGGCTGATGGTGAATGTTTGAATGAAACTCGTGTTTTCTAATGGCTATTGGGATTCAATGGATTAGAAATTATTGCAGGATTTAAAAAACTTGTCTTATGAATAGATGATATTTTACAGAGATACGAAAATACACAAGAGAGAACAACCCTGATATGGAATTTTTGGATACGGCTATCGAGACAGTAAAAGATATTTTGCAGAAGATAAATAAAACTCAAGAACTGGCTGAACAAATTCAGGATACCCACGAAAACCAAAACTATATGGTAAGTTTGTTATATTCTTGGATTTAAATTTTAGCCTTTGAAATCTGTTTGAAAATGTGTGTTTTACCTACTTTTTATAACTGTGTGTTTTTTGTTTGTTTACTGTATGTGTTATTTTTTTCTTTTTAAAGCCTAGATACATATAAGCTATTCACCTAAAAGAATTAGTTTGTGTTATTGCATAAAGGTGTCTATGTCTAGTGTGTGTGTGTCTATATATTTGTGCTGGTGGAACAATGTTGGTTTGTTTTTTAGTGTGTGCATATAAAAAAATTTTGAGAAAAAAACAAAAAAGAGTCAAAATCCCTACAATTTGAAATTTTATTTGATGAGGCAGTCCTATCATTGTTGTGATGCCTCATTTTGGGAGTTTGAACATTTTGCGACAGTAATATGGGGTACTAGTTGAGTTTGGCTTGCTGACCACCCTTTTTACAGTTTAGATTAATTTTTTGCACAACACAATTGTAGTAGTAAAATTGTTATCTGGTTCTTAACACGTTCAGAGCTAGGGGCGGGAATTCACGCCCCGCGGTACTGGCACCACTGACGCGGGGCGGGAAATGTCGTCCTTCTCAAATGCAAACAACCTTGCTTCAATGTGAGCTCAGCCATTGCCGGGGAACGTTATAATCGTTGCCAGCCTGTAGCTTAGAATATAAGCTTTAGTCTGTAGGTTGGTACTAAAATTTCCCGCAAAATCTCGTCTGGCAATACTTTTGTCCCGGTTCCGGCAATTTTCTCTTTTCGAGCCACTTTACAAAGACACTGGCTACGGATCCAGGCAGTGCTGCTACCTTTGGGTGTTTCAGTGAACTACGTCCACTCTCGGGCTAACGCAGCACAATCACCGCTGCTCTTTTTTATTCGTCAGACTGAAATATTTGAATGCCAATTGCATTCACCGATTCAGTAGCGTGGCGGGGCTTTGCCCGGTCCTCGCCGCCATTGGCGAGCGCCTGTTTGAAGGTATGCCGCACTGAACATGTTATTAGTCCCTAGTCAACTGTTACTGGTACCCAACCCATAGTCTTTCAAACACTTTGTTTAAGTAGGCCTACCTCACTTTTTGTTACTGTATATAGTTTCTGTGTTTTTCAACAGATTTTTAATTAATTTATTTTCTTGTTATTGCGATATTAAGTGTAGGTTCTCCTGTGCATTTATTTCAGACTAAGTCAGTGAAATTCGATTTTTGTTCCTGTGGCCGTCTTGAGTTTTTCAATGGCTGTGTTTAGTAATTCAGGGTGTCCCGTAACTCTCTGGACATATATAAATATAGCGTTATTGCTTAGGTAACAAACACATTTCACCATAGGAACATGGGTCTGTGGTGCCTAGTTTTCTGACTGTCTGAATTTTTTGGTTTTTTACAAAACATTATTATTAAGATCTCTCTAACATTATCTGATCTCTCCTAAACAGTTTGAGATACAGCTTTGAGATTTTTGCAAAAATGTTTATCTTGTTAACACCTATCTTTGTTAAAAATATTATACAAAAAAATCATTAACCGTTTCAAAATGGCAGCCATTTAAAATATTTTATGCCAAATTTCACAAAAAACCGTTAACTTAACAAAAAAACTGCAAGTGACAAAAAAGTTAGTAAATTTTATGTAGTTTTCAATTATACCTTATTTGTTAAGAATGGATAAATAACAACAGAGAAATGTCTGCTTTCCAAAATGCATGACCGCTTTTCTCGCTTTAAACAATGCTAAACAACGTAAAAGGAGTATTAGCATTGTTTAAATGGAGAAAAGTGGTCATGCATTTGGAAAAGAAAAGTACCATGTCCATGTAAGTTGGAGAAGTTTGGTAAAGTAGGAGTGGCTGTCCCATTTTTAAGAGTATGGGGATTATCATACATAATCTACATCTTTAAGATAAATTATTAAAAATTCAGTCATGCAACGTAAGGCACTCACATCTGAAAAAAATAAAAACGGTTTACCTTAACACGTTCAGTGCGGCATACCTTCAAACAGGCGCTCGCCAATGGCGGCGAGGCCCGGGCGAAGCTCCGCCGCGCTACTGAATCGGTGAACACAATTGGCATTCAAATATTTCGGTCTATCGAATAAAAAAAGTGCAGCGGTGATTGTGCTGCGTTAGCCCGAGAGTGGATGTAGTTCACTGAAACGCCCATAGGTAGCAGCACTGCCTGGATCCGTAACCAGTGTCTTTGTAAAGTGGCTCGAAAAGAGAAAATTGCCGGAACCAGGACAAAAACATTGCCAGACGGGATTTTACGGGAAATTTCAGTACCAACCTACACCAGACTAAAGCTTATATTCTAAGCTACAGGTTGGCAACGATTATGACGTTTCCCGGCAATGGCTGAGCTCACATTGAAGCAAGGTTGTTGGCATTGGAGAAGGACGACATTTCTTGCCCCACGTCAGTGGTGCCGGTACCGCGGGGCGTGAATTCCCGCCCCTAGCACTGAACAACACGTTCAATGAGCTATGTACCTATTAGGGTGAACCTTTGTATTTGTAGAGTTTATCCTTACCTCTAATTTTGTGTGCTTGGAATGGCCTCTAGTGATGAAATCTACAACACAAAATCTGTATGGTAAATGGTAATGCAACTGTTATTTTAAGTAGGGTACTTGCTTTCTTGAAGCTCATATTTTCCAGCCCATTTAGCTCTGCAAAGATTCTATTTCCAAATTTTTCTTTGTCAGTGAACGTGGAGTAATTGGAAGCTTGAATTGGAATCTGAAACAAGTAGAAAGGGGACAGTAAAATATTTTATGACGAGGAACAGAATGTAATATTTTCTTTTCCTCCTCTGATATTCAGGCTGAGTGGTGCCAACTGCTACAAACAAATGTCTAGTTACTACAACCAGAGGTAGCCCCCCCCCCCCCCCCAAAGGTCAGGAGAGCAAATTCCACCTTTTCGTAATGTACCTTTCTTCACCCCCCCCCCCCTATAACTTAGCCACCTGCCCCAAAACCAACATCAAGGATTTACTTAATTAAAAATATATACAAAATAAAAACAGCTTGCATTGATACAAAATGTTTATTAGGAACATTTGTTTTCCGATTTAAAATTGAGTACGATGAAATGGTCATGATATTTGGGTAATTTTGTAATTATGAAATGGACTCATTAAAGACAATCAAGGAGGGTCTCTTCACCCAAACCAGAAATGATGAAATAGCCACAAATGGACGGGATTGAGTAAAATGGAACTACTTTATTTTGTCCCTGCGTCCTCTTTTGTGACTACGGTCTTCTCTGCCCAGATTATATGGGGGGGCCACCAGTTGACCGACAAGATACTTGGTCGTCTGGCCACTAGACCGTCTTTTTTAATTAAATAGATAAATACTGAAAACCAGTACGTCGACAAGTTATTTCATCGTCAGTCCAGTTGACCGGCCTGTAAATCTAAATTATTATATACGAGAAACCAACTTGTCGTCAATCCTCCCGACCGACTTACCACTTGCTCGTCTTTTAGGTGGGGATGTGTTGAGCGGCAGTGCCAGCGGCGCGCGCAGCTGTGGAGGGCACTGCAGGCGTACCAACTTCTGTATCTTGTAGCGGCGGTTTTCATTCCGACGATTTTCAGCTATCACAATGCAGCGGACTAGCGAGGTTTTTATTACGTGTAATTGTTTGTTTCTCAATCGATATTTTGTTATACACAGTACAGTGAATATAAATAGGCCTATATTAGTTTACTTCAATGAAATAAATGTTTTATTTAGCTAAATAAATAAAAATACGCCGATTGAACAAATAAAATTGTTACAGACAACAGGAAGTCCTTAATATGATCAAAAAAGTGTTAATTTTTATTAAAAAATTACTGAAATTTGTAAACTTACTGCTGGCGACAAGGGTGGTGCCATGCATAGGTTTATCAATAAATAAGATAAACATGGACAACCTTATGCAGCTATAAGTCAGGAAACATTTGTAGAAACATTAAAAAGCAATACCAATTTATGAAATATGATAAAATATTTACAGGAAATGTTGATTACTGTATATACATCGTGAGTATCTCCAGCAGTTACACACTGGTGATCTTTGAGTTGACTCTTTTAAACTCATTAAATATTACTTTTTTCGTTTTGAAATAAATTCTGTAATACTTTGAAATTGCTCGAATTCGAGCAACATGTACACGAGTTTGAATATTAAATTAACTAACATATTTATGTAATAGGAGGGTCAAATATTGTGAACAGTGGTGAGGTAACTACCGTTACATTTATTCAATTGAGAGATAAATACAAATTGATAATACCGGTTATTTAAAGCTTTGTTAACTATTTTTCCCTCTCTTAAAAAAATAAAATAAATAATGAATTTAGACTTTTGGTGACATTAGTTTGTACTATTTCTCCTTAAATGACACTGCTGTCTTTGTAAGCAATAGTTATCTCGGTAAACTATTTATTTGCTGAAGTGCACAGTGTGCTACTTAGCCTGAGAAACATCTTTTGTTTTATGATTTTGTTGTAGGCCTATTGAAAACCTTGTCTAGAAGGAATTCCCATTGCCTGTGTTACCGGGGAGAAGTTTTTCTTAGTAAAGTCTGTAGACGTCTTCGGTTTTACACAGAAACATGTAATTATAATTGAAGAAGTACATGTTTTATCCTCTCACGTTGTTGCATGGACAATACTATGGTGATTCAATTCTGTGTACTTCAATTGTCTAACTGGCCCTAACTGACGCATCCTTGTTTTTTTTTTTACTAAATAATGTAGTCTTTACTTCCGTGGATCTCTGCGTTTTATTGTGTAACTGTCCTCAAGTAAGTCTGTGTTCTGAGTAAGTACTTCAAATGCACGGCACTACTGTATATTCAGATTTTCTAATGAACTATCATAGATAAAAGGAGTATAGACATGTATGTATGACAGAATATGTCTACTCTTTTTATCTATGGTACTATTTCCAAGTTCATCTGGACGACCCTGCAAATCGTTTCTAGTAAAAAAAAATTATTTGGTTTATGTTTATGAAC